AAGACATTTTATCGCTACTATTCAGGAGAATTGGTCAGTGTTTCAATATGTATTGGCTAACCTGTTGAGTAATGGTTTCATTTTCATTTGTGATGATATCAGTGAACGTCAAATCAATTCCATAATAAAAGCAATTGCTATGTTAATAAATAAATGAACAAATTGAAGACAGCACCAATATTAACGATATTCATCGGTGGTAATCATGAAGCATCGGGTTATTTACAAGAATTACCAAATGGAGGGTGGGTTGCACCCAATATTTATTATATGGGACATGCGAACTGCATCAATTTTGCCGGCATTCGAATCGCCGGTCTGTCTGGCATCTTCAATAAACATCATTATCATATGGGTGAGTTGAGTGATTCTCAGATAGATGAATTAGAGATGCTCATGTTGAGTTCATTTAGTTCAATTAATTGCTTATATTATTAAAGTAGTTATATTACCATATTTATATTATTCAATTAATTGCTTACATTATTAATTTATAATTTTGAGTGCCTTGAGCAAAAGACTGAGTAGTTGATATGGTGAAAGTGAATGTCGATTCGAAATGATAATCTCTCAAAGAGGTAATGAAATCTTAATTAATAGGCCATTGGGAACGACCTCCTTTCGATGAGTACGGCAGTGCGGTTTCGGTGTATCATGTTCGTGCAGTTGATGTGTTTCGACTGAAACAGTTACAACCCAGAAATGGTTTGTTTTGCATAATGATTAAGCATTAACCGTACGGCTGCACGTGCGTGGATAAAAGGCAAAGAGGTTACAGATGACAAAAGCGGACCGATCGATGTGATGTTAAGTCACGATTGGCCTGCTGGTATAACTGATTATGGAAATGTTGATGATCTGTTGAGAAGGAAGCCGTTCTTCAAAGAGGATATTCAAAAGAATACACTGGGCAATCCGGCGACCATGTGCTTGGTTCATGTATGTCTTTTTNCGTTTTGTTTTATTGTATTCAGCTAGATAGTGTGAGTGAATATCAACAATAATTTAAGGAGCTACGACCACGCTATTGGCTGGCCGCACATTTGCACTGTAAATTCGCAGCACTGATAGCACATAGCGATAGCACCGAATCAGAATCAAATAAAGAAAATGTGACACGGTTCTTATCGCTCGATAAGCCGTTACCCAGACGACACTTCATCCAGGTTTGTTTATGTCTTGTTCTAATTTACCTACATTCATTTACTGTTCTCATTTTATTCGCATTCGTTTTATATTAATGTTATTCGTATTGCATTCCGAACTGTATTGGAATTGCAGATATTGGAATTTGATGTTGATGAGGATGCAGATTTAAACCTGTCCTATGATCCCACTTGGTTGGCAATCTTGAAGGCAACTGACAGCTTCACAGATGCATCGAAACGGGTTTCTTATTCGAGATCATTGTTATTTTTAATTGTAGACTCATCAAGAATCTGTGTTGTATTGCAGTTAATATTGTTTTATTGTAATTTTTGCTGAACTTTTGCTAAACGAGCTAATAATGTATGAAGGTGAGTTATATGCCATCGAGAGGTCATTCGAGTGTTGATGAGATGAGTAGCGATGCTGAACGATGCGATTATAGACCGACCAAGGAGGAACTCGACCATATTGATCGCCTGTTCAATGGACACTTCACAATTCCTCTGAACTTCCGACAAACTGCACCACCGCACTCTGCAACTGAACCCTTCAAACACACCGAATTTTATTACAGGTTGTTGTTATTTGCATTGTTGTTTTAGTTAGCCTTGTCGAATTATGTTATATAATTTTGGTCGTTGCAGAAATCCACAATCGATGGAATTTTGTTCAAAGTTGGGTATTCGTGATCTGAATGAAATCTTATGTGCGCAGTCAGCGAACGGTGTCGGAACGGCGTTTTATCTGATGCCTAATGATGACTCGAAACAGCAAGATAATACGTCTGCAATTCAGTCATCGTGCACTGATAGTGAAGTCCGAATTTGTTGTAATTACATATGTCGAGTATTTTCTTTGTTTGTTATCACAGACAACTGGATTGCTGATAATATCCTAATCGTAAGATTATTTAAGGAATTTGAGGATGGATTAGACTTTAAAATAGATCGTGGCCGACGTTCATCACCGATTCGGATTGATAGCGATCAACTGAAAAGTGAATAAGATACTGATGATTGTCCATTGCTTGAACGATTCGGCTGGTCGTTTCGTAATCAGATAGATCACTGTTGTTCTCATAAAGCAATGGGAATTGATATACGTTCTATTGTTTGTTTGGTGTTATCATGCATTGTAACCATTTCTTTATGCAACGCATACTCATTTGTTCTTTTTTTTAAAATGAAAATTGTCATTGATAATGAATGTGTTTGTTCATGTTTGATGTTTTTTATTTATTTGCTATGAAATTGATTGTTACTGTTACTGTTTTTGTTATGCAATGAAAATAAAACAATCAACGTGTTGATGGTTATTGGTTTGATGATAAGATGTGATATCAAACAAGAGATTATTTGAGAGTAATT